GGAGCTGGCAAACACCGAGATAACGTCATCAATTGTAGCGTGGGTTCGAATTGTGCCGAAGTCATGTAACAATGTAAATAAATAAAAGTTCTTTGCAGACGAAATAAATAAAAGACGGGAATTACTTCAGGTTTTCTATGTGGTTTATACCTTTTTACCAAGAGAAATATTAACTCTTCTCACTTTGAATTCTATCGCGACACTTCGTACAATTCAGCTAGGTCTTGAGAAAAATCCTTGAGGCGGGAGTTCTTTTTGACATCAAATCACGTGGGATTCGGAAGCTCTTCTTACTGTCTGGTCTCGTCTGCATCTCTGGCCGGCAACTCTGGAGATGAGGCTGGTCGCTTCTGCCTTCTGCTTATATTGACTTTTATCCAAGACTGGCATAGAGCTGACGTTTTTGGGGGACTCAGAGTTTCCCTTGTCTTCCAACAAGAGTTCTTTGTTGTATGGCGTTGGAAAAATATTTCCTTAAATTTGGGGATTGCTACTTACGGGAGTGGTTGCATGTATTGGCCCGCCCCAATAACTTCTTCTTTCTCTTATTTGTGCCTTGCACCACCACCTCGTAATGGGCGTAGGCAATTCCTACGTCCTTCTTGGTATCTTACCTCAATTGTCATTTTGACAAATCTAGTTTTCAAACTGCATGGTGTGGCTTGGTTTGGTTTGTTTTACAGCATATCAACGTCAATCGGCCATTTAATGCCAACAACTTTTTTTTCCTGGTAATATTTTTGTTTTGTCAAAAATCTTTCTGTTAATATTTTTTACTCAAAAATGTATAGCTGGAAACATTATTTTTTCAAAAACGTATAGCTGATAATAATATTTTTGAAAAACGTATAGCCGGCAACATTATTTTTCAAAAACGTATTATCAGAGGCCTTGCTGTTGGACGTAGTTTATCATCATCCCCAGGACGCGGATGTAGTTTATCGTCATCCCCAGGACGCGGATGTAGTTTATCGTCATACCCAGGATGCATATGTAGTTTATCGTCATACTCAGGACGCGTATGTAGTTTATCGTCATACCCAGGACGCCGATGCAGTTTATCGTCATACGCAAGACGCGAATGTAGTTTATCGTCATACCTAGGACGTGTTGTGGCTTGGCATCTTGTCATTAAATATGAATATCGTTTTAATTTTCGTCAGCAAATAATCCCAGCCTGGTCTTGTTCATATGATCAGAAATTTACCAGCTGTTCTCTCCATCAGCTATCTCAATATCTTGTAAACTCACGCATTTATGAATCCTTTTAAATAAAGAAATTTTATTTCTCGATTTGTCTAAAATTTCCACTTTTTGATAGGTAGAGTGAATCAGTTTTTTCCATTCTGCTTTATCCTTAAAAATTACCTAATATTATCTTCTCAAGCGACTTTATTTTCCAGCTAGTCCCTAGGAGATGTTTTCGGAAGTTCTAATTTAGGGCCGCGCCATCAATCAATTTTCAGCCCACCTTTTTTGCAAATGGATTCTGTGGTAAAATCTTTCCCCAAAACAAATTTATTCAAGCCGTCTCTGCTTAAAAAACAGACTCTCAACATTAAATGCAATTTCGCTTCTTTCTCTCAGTTTATCGTTCTCTTCTTTAAAACGTTTCGTCTTTTCCCATATTATATTCTAATTTTAACCCTTTTCTATCCCTTTGCAAGTGTCACATTTGTAATTTACCGCTGAAGATAATCTTAGAAAAGAACGGAAAAAAAGAATATCGTGCTATCGTTAATGAATTTCATCTCAACATCAAGAAACTGATTAGACAACTGGAATATGTTTTTTTTTCGCTACACAGTTCTAACCATGTTTCAAAAATGGAAGCTAAAAGCTACGAATTTAATTTTGTAATTAAATTAAAGACATTAAAGTGAGCACTATTTTATAAAAATATAAATATCTATAAGAACACCGGATTATATATCTTACTGTTCTTTCTTATATATATATATATATATATATATATATATATATATATATATATATATATGTATGTATTATGTATGTATGTATGTATGTGTGTAGATGAATATATATATATATATATATATATATATATATATATATATATATATATATATATATGATTATATATATATGTGTGTGTGTGTGTGTATGTATAGATAAATGGATGATGGAATTGATAGGAAAAACCCTAGGTAGAACTGGATGGATAGGGCAGATAAGAGATTGTTGTCAATTCTTGCAAGAATGTCTCCTGAAACACAAAGGTCTGAAGCAGCGTCTTCGAATGGCTGATAACCATGGAACTGATGAAGATATCAAGGGCTGGACATGGGATTTCTGTCAGCGCATACATCTTTCAAAGGCTGGTTGGGTGAATCATGTGAAGTCACAAAAAAAAAAAATCACCATTGACATTGCCCCGCCACATATACACACGGCATATTTTTCAAATCAGATTTTATTCAGCTGTAGTCAAAATTATTCGTTATAAAGACTTCAGTAACATGAAGACCCTTTTCAAAAGAATGCTATTATGGAGTCGTGTTTTATAGCATTTGATCAAATGTATATTATTACATCGTTGTCTGTATATGCACATATTCGAGCTTATATACATACACACACACACACACATATATATATATATATATATATGACGAAGTCACAAGTCATATATATATATATATATATATATATATATATATATATATATATATACAGACATGACAGAATTGAATATACGTTCACAGAAACCGTTTATTTTATTAAACAAGTAATTTATAGAAATGAAGTAATTATAAATGGTCAAATATTTAATAACTAATGTTTGGTTGACATCCCTTTTGCTTTTTTTAATGCAAGGACCCTTCTAGGCATGCTAGCGATGAGTTCACGAATATCATCTTGAGAGATTTCTTGCCATGTTTGACGCAATAATCCTAAAAGGTTCGGGCTTAGAAGATGGCTTCCTGTTCTTTTTGCGGAGTTTTCGATCTAATATGCCCCAAAGGTGTTCAATAGGGTTAATATCCGGGGACTGTCTTGGCCATGGAAGTATATTGATCCCATTTTGTCTCAACCAATGTTGCGTTGCTTGATAAATAGGTAGTCAACTTTGCTCATTCTACTACTTGATAATATTGGAAAGAGCCCTTTCTTTAATATAGAAACATATGTGGTTGAATTAATGTTTCCTTCACACTCCACAAGCTCTGAGCGACCATCACTCCAAATTGCACCCCATACCATTACTGAAAAGGCCTCCATGTTTCACCCTTGGCTTCAGTCTTTTTAAATCAAACTCTTGACTACAGAGTCCCCATATCCATACTCTTGACTCATCTGAGAAAGTGACAGTGGTCCAAAAGGTCACAGGTCTCTCCACCATCTCATGAGCCCAATACTTTCTGCGTTTGATATTGGCTGGACGGAGAAGTGGTTTCCTTCTCGCAGCTCTGCTATAGTAGCCCAGCTTGTGAAGATACCTGACAGCTGTTCTGGGACTAACATCAACTTGCGTTGCTATGTTAGAGGCCTTGCAACGTGGATCCTGTTCAACATTTCTTTCGACAAGACGCATGGTCATTTCAGAGGGCCCAGGGCGGCCTGGATGAGGTTTTGTGCACTTCTTGCCCTCTCTGGTGAATTGTACGATCACTCTGTTAACAGTAGAAAGGGGTATTGAAAGATTTTCAGATATTTTTCTTTGACTAAGACCATCTTTATGTTGGCCCACGATACGTCCTCGCTGAAATTCGGAAAGGTCTGAGGCTCCTTTGGTTCGTGGCATGTTCCAGTTTTGTTATCTGCAATTTTAATCAAATAATCTAAGTTAATTTATCTTGGTTATTAAGAAAAATCAGAAATAAAATTTATCTTGGTGTCTATTCAATTCTGTCACGTCTGTGTTTATATATATATATATATATATATATATGACGAAATCAAATGTCATCGTGACCGAGGTTTTGAGTGTGCTGGTGTCGTTCAAATTTTTCATCATTCTAGGTAACACACTCTCTCCCAGAAAACTATAACTAAGCTTTTCTCGGCATAGCTGGAGTATAAACCACAGGTTGGCTCTGTGGGTGTTGACCAAACACAAATGAGCCTGAGCTAACGTCTGCAATAGGGATTGTCAAGCTACCAGAGTAGACGGGTATCCCCGAATAAAAAGTGGCCAGCTATTATTATTATTTTTATTTTCTTTGATTTCTGGCGTTTACACATTACTTTCCGGGTCCCGCCCAGGGACCTAAGGTTAGAAATGGCATCATGACACTTTCCACTGACAAAAAAAAAAAAAAAAAAAATTACAAAAAAAAATCGTAAAGTGTGGGCTGTAGTTGTCAGAACAATTTTTTGTATCTCCTTGAGGTATGGACTTCCAGGAATCCTTTTAATTAGTCTACTGCAATCTTTTCCAACCAGTCCTAGGGTTCCAACTACAACAGGGATTGTTGATGTTCCCATATGCCATATTTATTATTATTATTATTATTATTTTCTTTGATTTCTGGCGTTTACACATTTCTTTCCGGGTCCCGCAAGGAACCTAAGGCTAGAAATGGCATCATGACACTTTCCACTGACAAAAAAAAAAACAAAAAAAAACACATCTTTTCCAACCAGTCCTAGGGTTCCAACCACAACAGGGATTGTTGATGTTACCATATGCCACATTTATTATTATTATTATTATTATTATTATTATTAAATATGTGCATTTATGTGTGTATGTATGCGTGTTTATTTATATTATGAAATAAGTGGTCTTTTATACGTAAAAAAGGTAAAACTATTATGTTATTTCGAATAATCTTAGATTATTTTCTTCATGCGTAAAATTGACGATTTTTTATAAAAGTAATTGGCAATAGAACGCAGCTACTCTTGTCTGTAATTAGAGACGCTTCAGCCAATAGCCACTTTGATAAGCCGAAGTAGGCATAGATCATATGACATGGCAATATGATTGAGAAATAAATTAATGGAAGAAGAGTTACAATAATGGATGGATGAATTCAAAGACGATGGATAAAAAGAAATTGTGATGGATAGATAGATATCCGGAAAGAAAAAAAAAACGCTATAGGATAAATACCCTTTGTGAAGGGAAGATTTGAAATCATAGAATCACAATATGTAAAAGTAAAAAAAAGTAAATCGGCGATATTAAAGGTATGAATAAATGAATAGATAGATAGATAGATAGATAGATAGATATGTATGTACAGAATGAGATAGAGAGATAGAATGATACACAGATATATAGATAGATAATGAATAGACTAAGATAGATAGAAAAATATATTGATACATAGATATCTAGATAGACTGAGATAGATACAAATAAAATGAGATATATAGATATGCATCATCGAGATATATATACATAAATAGGTATATATATACACACAGACATATATATATATATATATATATTTATATTTATATATATATATATATATAGATACATAGACAGTTATATATACATAGAGACAGAGGTAGAATTAACTAATGATATATATATATATATATATATATGGAGATAGATCTCTCTCTCTCTCTCTCTCTCTATATATATATATATATATATATATATATATATATATCAGTTTCGATCCTGACTTGAAGGCATTCTTCGTGTGTCTAATCGCACTAATTAGTATACTTATATATATATATATATATATATATATATATATATATATATATATATATATGTGTGTGTGTGTGTGTGTATTTATTTTGTTCAGGTTAGGTTTCAACTGTTTTATGTATATAGTTTCAAGAATTTTTAGTTTTTATTTATTGTTTTCATGTTTAAGTATAGTTGTGTTTTTCAACAAGGATTTTCGGAATTGTGTATGCAGCCAGGCATGTTGTTTTAAATGCCTAAAAATGTTAGAGTTATCATTCAAATGTAGTGTCAGCTGTTGTGAAAGGAGTTTGTGGTGTGACCAACTTAAATATTAATTTGGAATACAATATATATATATATATATATATATATATATATATATATATATATATATATATATATATATATGTGTGTGTGTGTATATGTATGTATGTATTGGAAAAAACAAATAGGCCTAAGCGAGCGTCAGCAATAGGTATTGGCTAGCTGCCCTAGTAGACGGATATCCTCGTATATGTGTGGCCAGCTATTATATATATATATATATATATATATATATATATATATATATATATATATAGAGCTAGCTAGATAGATGTGAACAGACATAGATAGATAGATAGATAGATAGATAGATAGATAGATAGTTAGAATATTAAAAACATAATCGAGAGAGATCTCAGCTCAGATTGAATTATACTGTTTAATTTTATCGAATGGATAAATTAATTTTATTTACAAAGAGACGGCTGGCGTTGTGAAATAAACAGATTCCAAGGATCCTCAAATGAGATCATATTTTTAAATGACTGTTTGAAAATACAAAGTGTTGAACCTTCGTCATTTCATTTGAAGTTCCTTGAATATGTTTCTTTTTTATTTCTCGACACCAACCATCTCTTTGTAAGCAAAAAAGTGAAAAATTGGCTGACGATCTCTCTTTTTCGTTGCATTTTATTTAATTATTTTGACGATGCGATAACAGATACAAACGTTTCTCTTGGGAATTTTCTACTGTTAACTTAAAGAGTTGCATTTTGAGATATTTTATTTCCCATGTAACACCCAGAGTTCTCATCTTTCATCCTGTTCAAACCATTGCATCTCCTAACTTACCTTTTTTTGAGGATATCACCTATGATCCGAGGTAATAAAAATATACACTGGATAAAAGATATGAATTCTATATTGCATTCATTTATACGGTATCCCACTTCTGTTAGAAGAAGTCTTTGAGAATATATTTCAACGGGGACCAAATATAAGTAGTGGATATTTCAGAGTCTTAGAATAATACATTGTCGGAAATTCTTGCAAAAACATATTTTTTGCATTTTAATGAAATATTCAAGACTTATTCATTAAACACTGAAGATACTTAAATATTTTTTTTACATTATTCTGCTAAAAATTCTGTTAAGCGGCTAGCATTTTCATTAAGCTTTATCAAGAGAACAATCTGAAATGCTAGCCACTTAAAAGAATTTTTACCAGGATAATGTAAAAAAACTTCTTAAGTATTGTTATGGTCCAGGTTAGGACCAAGGAAGAACAACACGAACCCAAGAGTAGAAATAACGAAGGTATATTACACGAAATAATAATACAAGATGTGGAAGGTGTTAGTATGACTGTCAGCCTGGTTTGGAGTGAACTACTATCGGCTCGACTCGATTCGATATTTACTTGTCCCCTCCCACGAGGGAAAGATGTGGCACAAGGCCGAGTTTAACGTGGGTTTCCCAATCCCGTAGACTCGGCAAAAAAATGCCCGTAGAACCCATATAAACGGGATCGGGTTGGTCAACCTCCCCGAACGAGACTCTGCCCTTCGGCGGAGCCTCGTCCGGGTTCCTCTCTGCTCAGAGGCAGAGAGTTCGACCGTCAAGCCGAGAATTATATATCGTTATATCATATTGTTATGGTCCATGTTAGGACCAGGGAAGAACAACACGAACCCAAGAGTAGAAATAACGAAGGTATATTACACGAAATAATAATACAAGATGTGGAAGGTGTTAGTATGACTGTCAGCCTGGTTTGGAGTGAACTACTATCAGCTCGACTCGATTCGATATTTACTTGCCCACCTCCACGAGGGAAAGATGTGGCACAAGGCCGAGTTTTACGTGGGTTTTCCGAGCCCGTAGGCTCGGCCAAAAAATACCTATAGAAACTGTAAAAACAGAATCGGGTTGGTCAACCTCCCCGAACGAGACTCTGCCCTTCGGCGGAGCCTCGACCGGGTTCCTCTCTGCTCAGAGGCAGTGAGTTCGACCGAGAAGCTCGTCTCGATTCGGTATCTAGCCACCCCCACGAGGGAAAGATGTGGCACAAGGCCGAGTTTAACGTGGGTTTCCCGAGCCCGTACGCTCGGCCAAAAAATGCCCGTAGAACCCATATAAACGGGATCGGGTTGGTCAACCTCCCCGAACGAAACTCTGCCCTTCGGCGGAGCCTCGTCTGGGTTCCTCTCTGCTCAGAGGCAGAGAGTTCGACCGTCAAGACGAGAAGTTATTAGTTATAGGCAAGGACCCATGGCAGTATATATATATATATATATATATATATATATATATATATATATATATCCGATGCGATGAGAACGAAAGTAATATATAAATTCCAACGTTCATAGCATTAATCTAAAAGAAGGCCTGATACCGATAGTTGAGCGATAATGATTCCTTTATTATAATTTTATTATATAGACAAAACCCTTTTACTCACTACGAACATGCAACTTGGTTTCAGTGCATTTCAACTGCATTTCGACGGGTGAGAATCGAAAATGGTTCTGATTGTTCATAACCATTTCCGATTCTCACTCGTTAAAATGCACTGAAACCAAGTTGCATCTTTGTAGTGAGTAAATGGTTTTGTCTATATGAAAAAATTATAATAAATAATTATTGCTTTACTATCGTTAGAGTCGTCTTTTGAATTAATGCTGTAAACATTGGGATTTTTATATTATTTTCGTCTCATTACATTCGGATAGATAGATAGATAGATATGAATACACTGAGATAGATAGATAGATAGATAGATAGATAGATAGATAGATAGATCAGTATGAATAGATTAGGATATATAGAGGGATATATAGATAGATACGAATAGACACAGCTGGATAAGAATAGACCTAGACATAGATTATCTGGAAAGAATCAAGAGCTCCCGAATTAAATAATACTGTTTATTTTTATCGAATAAAGGAAACAGTTGGAGTTGAGAAATAAAAAGATTCAAGGATCCTCAAATAAGATCATATTTTTAAGCGAGTGTTTGAAAATACAAAGTGTTGAACGTTCGTCATTTCATTTGAAGTTCTTTGAATCTGTTTTTATTTCTAAGGACCAATCGTCTTTTTATAAGAAATAAGAAAAAATATGTTTGCTAAAACTTCCTGCTATTATTCATATTGGCTGACGATCTCTCTTTCTTGTATTTTATTTTATTATTTTGATGATGAGATAACTGATACAAACATATCTCTCGGGTTTTTTCTACTGTTGATTTCAACAGTGGCAGTTTCAGAGATTTTTACTTCTTTTCTGACACCCTCGGCACTCATCTTTCCTCCTGTTTAAACCACTGCAATTCTCACAACTCTTTTTGAGGGCTTCAACTATAATCCGAGGTAGAAAAAAAAACATAAACTTGATTAAAAGACATAAGTTCTGTATTACATTCATTTTAAGGAGTCCCAGTTCTAGTGCAAGTTCTTCGAGAATATATGTTTATATAAAACAAAAAAAATGTGCATATATAAAGAAAAATTCTAGTCGGAAACAATCAAATTCTATGTAAATCAAATTACCGAAATAATCTTAATATAACTGAATCCCTATATATCAAACATCTTTCCACCACTACTAACCTCAGTTTATTTAACAATGTGATGGCGAATTGAAAGATTAGAAAATAAAAAAGGCTTACAGCCTTGACTTACAGCCGTGTCCATCACACGAAAGACCAAAATAAATATTCTACTAGTATCGAAAACCACACAAATAATACATCTCAAACAGTCGATATATAAAAAGAAACTAAAAACAACAAAACAAAACCCCCTGAAAATTGCTAAGCGGCAGAAATAGCTTGGGACAATTGACAGTATGGACAGTCTCTGCATTCCTTCATTCGCACCAAACGGAAAAACTAAATAAAAAATATGATAAAATTTTGCTTCTTCGTTTACATTATACGGAGGATGTTCAAAATAAAAGGTTGCTGTCAATATATATATATATATATATATATATATATATATATATATATATATATATATATATATTATAATGAATTCATCGAGTCTAGAAGAAACCTCAAAATTTTTGGCTAGGTAGGCAAAAATTTTGCATACCCATACATAACACATACATACATATTCACACACATACACACACACACACACATATATATATATATATATATATATATATATATATATATATATATATATATATATACACACACATGTCAGACAATTCATACATACACATATACACACCCTTATCCAAATTGCCCATACATACATATATAAAATCACATATCAATGTCCAAGTTCATCTACATTTTTGTATACATATGAACAAGCACAGCATCCATGTGTTCATACATTCATTACAAAAACAAAAGTAATATTTTCCTTTTGATGTAGTTATTTCTAAATATATTTAGTTAAATTGAGTTGGCTTTTATGTCTACATTTAAAAACCAACTCGTTATGTTTGTTCAGTAATATGTCCGGATCTTTATGCCTTATTATTAGGATTTTCTCTTTTATGCACAAATTACATCGGTCTCTGAAATTTATTGGAGTTCTAACCCTCGAGACGATTCTCCATTTTACTTGTGGGCTTAAGTTGCTTTCCAACAAATCCAAATAATATTTTGACAGTGCCGTTTGGTGCTTCATAGATTTATTTGTGATGGTTATAACAACGTTGCTTCCAATTTCCTGCCGATATTCCTATGTATATCTTCTTCTGTTTAATATCTTCCTTGGGAAAATTGTAAAACACGTATATTACGTTTTCTGCCATGCATATTCCCTCTACTGGACCAACGGATCCTTCCCTACAATTACAGGTAGATTTGTTCTTTTTGTAGTTGATTATTATGAAATTTTCTTATAATTCTGCTATTGTGAGAGCTAATAATTTTTTCTACATTGCTCATGCAAGAATACGTATTTTTTTAAATTCATTTTGTTGAACATCTTTTTTAATAGTTCATTTTTTCTAAAATGTGTTTCTATTAGTTTAAGAAAGTATTTCCCTATATGAATTAAATTGAGTTAAAATAAGCTCTGTTCCATCTTCAAGCGAAATTTTTTTTGGAATCGCTTGAAGATGGAACGGAGCTTAATTTAACTCAATTTAATTAAATAATTATATTGAAGTTTTCGGCTCTTGTTTTGAAACATGGGACTTTTATGTCGCGATTTGGAATCATATTTTTAAATAAATAATTATATTTATGCTCTACTTTTTATCGAGCATTATTTTTTAAAAATAATATCTAAAATAATAAGGGACTTTGGATTATTTACCTAACCAGTTCCTTCCTATTTTCTATATATTTTCACACTCACACACACACACACACACACACACACACACACACACACATATATATATATATATATATATATATATATATATATATATATATATATATATATTTGCATATGCTATAAAATAGCATAGCATGATGAAAAAGATTCCCCAAACTTATTTAAAACTTTATGTCGTTAAAATATGTTATTAATCTTTGTAGAATCTTTGAAATAGAGCCTTCGAAATTTTGCTTAATAATGTTGTTTCTGTAGCGCCAGTAGGGGGACCTTAAATTTCTATCCCCTTTTTTTTCGTGTGAAAACACATTGATTTGGAAATTCTTGCAAATACTTCACAGATTTCAATGAAACTTTCAGTACTTATTTACAAATAAATGAAATTATTTTAGAAATGTTTCTTTCCGGAAATGCTTGATTAAACTTTTTTTTTTATATCTGTTCCTCACACCACCCACCACTGATTTACTTTTATGAAATTTGTAGCAATTAATGTTTACATTCATTGTACGCATAATTCCTTGTACAAGTTAAGTTATCAATTTAATTTGTAAAACAAGAGCCGAAGTTACCAAAAATTTTCAGTGGAATCATAAAATAAAATTGTAATAAAACTGAGATATTATTTAATTTGAAAAAGTTTTTAATTTCTTTTATGAATAATTTATGGGCACTATTTTCTTAATAAAAAAAATTGATGAATAATTTATTAATTTTTACATATTAATTAAATATTAATATTAATTTTGACAAGAATAGTTTTTTAAAAAATTTTAATCAGAGTAATTTTAGCATATTATAAGTTTTTTTAAATTCTGTAATAATTTGTATTGGTTAGAAGATATTGATTTTAAGTAAATCTAATCAGAAATAGAAAAACATACTATGATTCGTCTTCACCAAAATACTATTAAGAATTTTTAATTTTTTTCTGTGTATAAGCATGAAGATTCTTGTAAACACGGACTTCGATACACACTATTATCACAAAATAAAAGCCATAACTATAATAAATTTAAAGCCAAGGTACCTAAAATAAATAAAACATTAGATTAAATAGAATATTTTCCTAAAATTTTAGGATTACAGGACAGTTAAAAATATATATATATGACAAAGACTGAATCAGGCTCGAATCTGGTTGGAGGCACATCTATATTATTTTTTCTTGAATGCTCAGGACGTTTAATGAAATAGCTTTTAAAAAGACGAGGCGCCCGACTCAAATAAGAGTATTCATTAAAAATAATATTTGAAGTAATATATATATATATATATATATATATATAAAACATTAGGCAGCATATGATTTACATACAAAGAATAATCACACAGAGAATTAATCAGAAGTATCAATGCGATTATTGGCGACATTCATCGCTAGAAAACATAATATATGCATTAAAATCCTGTTCATCCATAGTCCGAGTTTTGATCCTTGAAGAAAAACTTGTTGTCTGTAGTACTTACGGACAGTCTTCCATCCATCATCAGGCATGTATTTTTTTTCCTTATAAAATCAAAAACTTGAGACGATATACCTGTATGCATGAAGATTGCTTTTAAACATGAAACTGATCGTCGACGCTGGCTGTTCTCCTCAATGTACAATTATATATATATATATATATACTGTATCCCTGATATTAAGCACTTTAACACATAAATACAGTTTACCTTAAAACTATATATATATATATATATATATATATATATATACTTTATTTTAGGTTATTACATAAAAAACACGTAAAAAAACGCTACACGAATGCAATCATGTTTCGATACATCTCATCAGGTATTAGTAAATAACTGGTGAATAGACAATTTATTGAGATTTAAAAAACAAGGTACGCCCACTTTTCATGAGAAAAGGAAGAAAAAGAAAAAAGAGTAAGAAAGACACGATATACACCCTCTTTTCACGAAAAAAGGAAGAATGAGAAAAACAGTAAGAAAGAAAATAGAGGAGAGGTTTGCGTAGTTTGTTTTGTTTTTATTCAGCTGAGCCAATCGGAATGGCTTACACTAAGTTCAAAATAAGGGGAAATACGAATGTTAAAAAGCACTCATGCGTAAGAGGTCATGACCCGCAGATTCAGAATCGTAAACGCCATTCAGACTTCATATATGGATCTGATGTAAAAATGGCTACAATATTATACATTAGACAAGGTCATTTCCTATGAAATATGCAAGGTAATTTAACAAACTGCTCGACAAACTACAGACCCTATGAGATAATATATATATATATATATATATATATATATATATATATATATATAATTATTTTTTAAAATATGATTACTTCGCTACATAAGAGTTCTCATGTTTCAAAAACGAGAGCCGAAACTATCAATAAAATTATTAATATTAAATTGAATTAAGGTAAGAAGCCCGGTTTCATCCTCAAGCAAAAATGTATGAATAAGAGTTATTAATAACAGTTACGGTAGCACGAAGTCCGAAGGCATTGGGCTCCATGTCCTGATTCAAATTGTTGATCACGCTAGATAACATGCTTTCCCCCAGAAACTGTAACTAAGGTCTGCTCAGCATAGTTGCAGTATAAACCACAGGTTGGCTCGGTGGGTGTATAATAAACACAAATACGCCAGAGCAAGCGTCTGCAATACGGAGGGTAGACGGCTATCCTCGTATACGCGTGGTCACACACACACACACACACACACACACACACACACACACACACACACACACACACACATATATATATTAGGTTGGTGCAAAAATAATGACGTAATAATGTCGTTTTTGACGTCAAATAATACGTAAAAACGACATTATTACGTCATTATTTTTGTATTATATATATATATATATATATATATATATATATATATATATATATATATATATATATATAATATATATGTTTATTACTTCAGAATATATATTATTAACTTATTTTTATTCAAATTATATTTATAGTTTTCACTTTTTCTTTTATTAATTTTTTTCGAATAAGCAAGACGGTAAACAATTTGAAAATCATTATATATATATATATATATATATATATATATATATATATATATATATATGGTAGTAATCTATCTCCTGTACTTCAACTGACGAGAAAATAGTATTTATAACGCCTGAAAAATGAAAACAAACAAATGAACGAAGCCACAAATGGAATTATTGTAAACAAGTATCAACCGTAAAAACTCTCCTGATAATAAAAAAAAAAAACTTCAACGTAAACAGAAATTGCGAAATATGGAGAATAAAACCTCGCAACGAGATTTTTCTAAAGATATTAAAGTAATGTTGAATCTCTTCGATATTTCCTCAAAGCATTTACAAACAAGGCATACCGGCATTAAGTATCATCCACTAACCGACACACACATACATATATACTTTTTTATATATATATATATATATATATATATATATATATATATATATATATATATATATCACATATTGAGTTGAGAGCTAGTGCTAATAAACAGTGCGTGATATTGATACTGGGCTGAAATTTATATGAATTCTCCATAATCAATAATGAAAAATCCGACATACCGTCACAGCCATATATATATATATATATATATATATATATATATATATATATATATATATATGAAAAGTAGTCATACAAAGAATAAATCAGTAAAGTTAATGTAATTAATGTCAAAATCACTTCCCTAAAATATTAAATAAAGCATTAACTCAATCACAACTCGTTGAATGTCGCGATCCTTGTTTTTTTTTTAAACTGTATAATGGATTAGAGAAAGTAAAATAATAAATATAACATCCATGCCTGAAGATGATAAAAGTAGTATCGAAAGTTCTTGCAATATGGACTGAACATCTAATCCGTTTTACAGTTTTTTTTAAAAATCAATTATCGCGTCGTTCAGTGAGTGATTAGAGAGTTAATGGCATATTTAATCTGTTAGTGAAGTGATTTCGCCATTAATTACATTAACTTTACTGATTTCTTTTTTGTATGACTATTTCTTTACAATATTAACTGAACTGCACTATCTTATACATATATATATATATAATTATATTTATGCTCTACTTTTGTATCGAGTACTATTTTTTAAAAATAATATCTAAAATAATAAGGGACTTTGGATTATTTACCTAACCAGTTCCTTCCTATTTTCTATATATTTTCACACACACACACACACACACATATATATATATGTATGTATATATATATACGATTTCTAAAACAGAATAATTCTTCAACTATTTTTGAAAGAGAATGAGAAGACGAAAAAAAAATAATCGTTCACTTATCAGTATTTTACCATCGGCCGAGGAAACACATTTGTAGTGATGAAACACGATCTCAATTGTGTGTCAAATTTAAAAATATTTTTCGTTCTAATCTCCTATAATAAATAATATTTAGCTCTAATCTGTATTGAGTCGTCTTTTAAATTAAATGATACGGATATCTTATCTGGAACTATATATATATATATATATATATATATATATATATATATATATATATATATAGGGAAGAGGTTATAGTTGTTCCAACGAGAGAAAAGTGTATATATCTTACCTGGAAATATATATATATATATATATATATATATATATATATATATATATAATGCAAATCCTTAACATCTCTTGGGAGAGCTACACCACCAACCCAGAAATGCTGGACAGAGCATCAGTGAGCAGCGTCGAGGCCAATATCATCTACCACCGCCTCCGCTGGGCAGGACACGTCCACAGGATGGATCCTTCCAGGCTCCCCAAGAAAATCCTATATGACAAGCTGGCCAATTGGACCAGGCCACGAGGAACACCCAAAATGCGCTACAAGGACCAACTAAAGCGCACCCTGACACTTACCAACATCAGCTCGTCCTCGTGGGTAGAAACTGCCAGGGACCGAACGATGTGGAGGAGAACAATACACGATGGCACCGAGGACTTCGAGGAAAGGAGGAGGGAGAATGAAGAGGCAAGGCGACGAAGAAGAAGAGAGCGCTTTGAACGACCCCATCCTCCCCTTCCCCTCCCCTGTGAGCACTGTCCGCGACTATTCCACCACCGACTGGGCCTCACAAGTCATGTTAAACATAAACATCAACCGTGAAGATAGGACTTAAAAGACAGAAACCGATACTCGGGCACGACTGGGAGCCGACGACGACGACACACACACACACACACACACATATATATATATATATATATATATATATATATATATATATATATATATAAATTAAAAATAGAAGCTAAAAGCCCCGAATTTAATTTTGCAATTCAGGGCTTTTAGCTTCTATTTTTGAAACATGGTTGAACTGTGTAGCGGAAAAAAATATTTTTAAATCAATTAATTTATAATATTAATGCTCTGTAAATTTACATTCAGCACTATTTTTGTAAAAAATAAAATATCTATAAGAACACCGGATTACATATCTTACTGTTCTTTCTTTATATATATATATATATATATATATATATATATATATATATATAGCGTATTTTGACATCAACATCAATCCTTATTTCACAAGCTTCATTAAATATGACAGATTCGGTGTTTTGATTAAGTTTTTTTTAGATTTCTTTTTTATATAATTTTTCATTTGATCTTATAATATTTTTTCTTATCAGTAGATAAATTATTCAAAATCTGCCCAAAACACAATCAACATATTGTGTCCATGTTCCTATTTGATATTATTGAGTGTTAGTTTTTTCTATTTATTCATAACCTTTCATTATTTTTAGTCTTTTTTACATGATGTCCGTGCTATTGTATTTATATAGGGTCCGGTAGGTCACCATGGGAATTTAAAGCAGACCTAACTGAGCTGTGGTCAGAAAGATGTAGCGTGAGTCTTCTTGTTTTACATATAGGGGTGTGGCCAATATTTTAAAAATAAAACATTCTATAATACTAAACATATACATACAACAATCCATTTCCAGTTAACAGTAAAAATATTCCAACCTTGATACTAATGGCTAAATGTATAGCCGAAAGCGCTCGGAAAAATAAAACATTTGGACAGTTTTTTATGTAATATATACTATTTAAAAAAAAAGATCTATCAGAAATTATATAAAACTTAAAGCACTTTATTGGTCATACTTCCTGATGCTTGTGTACTAACCTAAACTTCTTTTAAATTGTAATTAAATAAATAAATAAAGTTTACTAAATCAGAGAAATGAATTAGCTATTTTTGCCGTAAAAGAAAAAAAAAATTACTTAAAAAATATTTAAATATAATTTTTTTTAAAAATCGTAATATAAATGTACTTGATGTAGAAAAATAATTTTACTGACTGTAAGTAACTCTAATACATTTACTTCTATTAAATGAAATATAGTCCATAAAAACTACTAATGAAAATATTTTAAAGTTGTAATTAAAATTGTAGTATATTAAAATGAATTCTAACCTAAACTTCTTTTAAATTGTAATTAAATAAATAAATAAAGTTTACTAAATCAAGGAAATGAAAATTTTACTTCAGTAATATTTAAATATAAAATTTTAAAAATCGTAATATACTTGATGTGATAATAATTCTACAAACTGTAAGGGATTCTAATTACATTTAATTGTTCTTAAAAGAAATATAGTATATTAAAAATTAAAAGTAAAAATATTTCAAATCGTAGTTAAAAAGTATTCTTACCTAAACACCCCACAAAAAACCTTTAAATATACGAAGAAAAAAATGCCGTAATAATTTTAGCCGTTAACAATATAATTTAAAAAAAAAATCCAGACGACACGCTTTTAAAATACATCCCTACCCACTACGAAAACGTAGCAATAACTGATACATTAAAATATAGACATATTGAAAACCCAGCCACCCCTTGTCTAGCAAAATAGATTCATCTGTAACCTTGGAAACGTGAATTTTGTTTTAGCTGTGTATTTAAAACCCAGTAATTTTAAAAGTTACTCCAAAATTCGCTTGAGGATGAAATGGAACTAATGTCTTTAATTTAATTACTAAATTAAATTCGTGGCTTTTAACAATTCCTATTTTATACAGGTTTCATTAAAATATTATTATCTGACAGAATTTCAGCGTGTATTATGTATCTTGTTATAATGCTGTTAAGTTGCGCACAGTTTTCTAATAATATCTGTGTTTCCGTCCTTTAGTAAAGGTAGGTTGTCCTATTTTCAGAAAAATTTAGTTGTTTACAAGTTTAAATGCCGATGTAATACGGTGTACATAGGACGAACCAATCTGAAGTGGGAGACGCGGGTTGCGCAGCATGTTCTTGCCTATCAGCGTTCTAGTAATCTGTGCCAATCTATAAGAAGAAGTACTCAGGTATTCCATGATTCAGCTATCGGACAGTATTTGCTCGACAGCCATGTTTGTGCCAACGATCATAAAGACATTTATTTCTCAATATTACACAGTGCTCGCTTGGTATACCCTCTCGGAGTCCTGGAGGCTGTATTTATAATATTTAATCAGCCCAGCCTGTGCACACAGAAGGAACATTTTGTACGTTCCTTACTCTTGTTGGAGGGACCTTGAGTGACTTTTTTTCCTTTTTATACTCTTGTGGAACTTACTATTTTCACCCCCCTCCCCGAACTTTTGAATTTTACTTGTTTGTAATTAAAATTTATCTCTTTTTTTTTTAACCGCGTTCCAACATTCCCTCCTCATTTATAATATTGTGAGTGTCTTTGTTTGTTTTCCAATTTGCCAATAAGAGGGGCACGTGGTCGTGTGGTTAGAACTTTCGCTTTCTGACCATGAAACCCGGGTTCGAATCTCACCACTTATCGGTCTTAAGGTGGACGATCACAGCGTGCGGTATCTTCCGGAAAACCATACCACGGTTTGACATTTGGGTAGATCGAATACATGGGGTCGTCGACAGCTGTGGTGTTTCGAAGTCATCGTGACTGAGGGTATTATTATATAACGTCTATAGATATATGCTAATATATAGTGTATGTATATGAGGTGCACGTTGCCGAGTGGCTAGAACTTTAGCTTTCTTTCCATTCATGTGAGTTCTATTCAGCGCATTGCAGTATAAACCATGGTTGGGCTTTATGTGTGTTGAAGAAACACAAAAATGTGTCTGAGCAGGGGTCTGCAATTGTGATTGGCTCGCCCCCTAGTTACAAGATACGACTGGCCATTATTATTATTATTTGCTGTGGAAATTGATGTCAACACCCAACGTCGGCAACAGTCTCTTTCCAATCGTCCGGGCATGTGATTTGTATATTAAACACAATATTAAAAACAATATCAGATTATTACACACAACCGAAACACAATATCAAGCATAGGAAAAAATTCATACTTTCCATGTTTAGTTAAACTTTAACCTTATCGGTTTAAACTGAACGTGGAAAGTATAAAATGTTAGGAATCCCTTTGTAAATTTTAAATCATTTTTTTCCGAATCTGTATGCTTCCATTTCTGCTTAAATAATGGGAAAATGTTGAGGATTAAATAATGGGTAATATCCAGTCCGAAACCGGTATATTATATAATAGAATACATCATTTGATAGATAATATATATATATATATATATATATATATATATATATATATATATAGATACTGAGTTAGACTGAGAAAAAAAAAAAACCTAATATTTGCACTTTTGATTTTAAATACAGAATGGGAAACGAATTCAGACGATAAATATAAATGAGTTTCGTTTGGAGGCGTTAAAACGTACAAGCCATTTCTTCTCTTAGTTAACATTAGATTAACTGTTACTTGCGATATCAGCTGCCATTTTGACTTTCTCCAAGCTATACGACTTACTATTAAGATACGAATAAATAGTTGTGTCAACGGCAGAGATAGCGAATCGAGGACTGATGACATCGGAAAGGCCGTCAATGAAAATTAAGACCAAAGTAAATGCGAAGATAGCAATAATATAGCCCTTAATAGAATAAACAATATCAAATTAAGATAGAAGAAAAAGTGCCATGTTTTATGAATCTGTAAGAGATAAAACAAAAGAAAGACGGGAAGCCATATTTAAAAATTGAAACTACTTTTACGAATTGATATTTTTCAGTTTATACTTTCCTCTCTCGCCGTTTGTGGAACTCTTCCGGATTCTTGCTTCACAGGAAAAATTTGATCTTTTAAAATTTAAATGCAATGCCATTTATCTTCTATCTTCTTAATCCTTGTTCTTTTATTGTCCTCTTTCTTTAATAGGATATTTTTCTTATATTCTCTTGTTTATTAGTGGATTTATTACATTACTGGGACTAAAATGGTTAAAATCTACTTTAATCGTAGCGATTTTGTCAATCCCACATCATAACATCAGTTATACGAAAATTTCAATTTTAATTATTATTATTTTTATTTTATTTGATTTCTGGCGTTTACACATTTCTTTCCGGGTCCCGCCCAGGGACCTAAGGTTAGAAATGGCATCGTGATACTTTCCACTGACAAAAAAAAAAAAAAGAAAAAATACACAGATAAAGCCCTTCGTAAAGTGTGGGCTGTGCTTGTCAGAACAATTTTTTGTATCTCTTTGAGGCATGGACTTCCAGGAATCCCTTCAAGTAGTCTACTGCAATCTTTTCCAACCAATCCTAGGGTTCCAACTACAACAGGGATTGTTGATGTTCCCATATGCCACATTTTTGAGATTTCTATTTCAAGGTCCTTGTATTTTGACAGCTTTTTGAATATCTTCAAAGAAACATTGCAGTCAGCAGGGACCGTTTTTGTTTGAGGTCTTCAATAACAATATCTGGGCGGTTGGCTTTGATTGTTCTCTCAGTGTGTATTGTGTAATCCCATAGAATTGTGACAGGTCCTATCTCCGTATGAGGGTCTGGGTGGTGTTCATATTATTATTACTTCCTTGGATTGAAAGGCCATCAATGAAAATTAAGAATAAATAAGACGATAGCAATAATATAGCCCCTAATAGAATACACGATATCAGACTAAGATCGAAGAAAAAGTGCCATGTTTTATTAAACTGTAAGCGATAAAATA